TTATCCAGGGAGCCTTTTGTTTGGGAAATGTTAAAAGTAGCATTTGCCCAATGCTTGGTAAGAAATGTACGCATTATCCTGCCCATGCAATTGTAACCCCTCTGTACAGTATGTTCACAAATAAAATAAAATAAAATTAAAAAAGATTTGCCCAGAGAATTAAATCTAGGGCCTGGCATATGGTAGGCAAGAGCTCTACCATGTGAGCTATGCTTTCTGCCCTTTTGTTTTTATTTTGTATTTGAGTTGGAATCTTTGAATTTTTGCTCTCTGGCCTCAGTCTCCCAGAAACAGTATTTACAGGCAGCTGCCACCACTTTTTTTTTTTTTTGGTTGGTCATGGGGCCTGAACTCTGGGCCTGGGCTCTGTCCCTTAGCTCTTCACTCAAGGCTAACGCCCTACCACTTGAACCACGGAGCAACTTCCGGCTTTTTTCTGCTTATGGGGTGCTAAGGAACCGAACCCAGGGCCTCATGCATGCGAGGCAAGTGTTCTACCATCTTCCGAGTCCAGCTGCCACCACTTCTGACTTGGATTTAAACTAATATGCTACAGAAAAGCTGAGGTATAAAAACAATACTATTTCCCTAATACACCCTAGTTTTACTGTTTGGCTTAAACACATTTAGGACATCACTGATAGCAAGGAGGGCAACATTGTCCAGTCGAAACAACCAGCACCCGGGTGCTGGTGGCTCATGCCTGTAATCCAAGCTACTCTGGAGGCTGAGATGTAAGGATCACAGTTTAAAGCCAGCCAGGGCAGGAAAGTCCATGAGACTCTTACTCTAATAAACACCTCAGATAAACCCAAAAGTGGAGCTGTGGTTCAAATGAGAGAGCACTAGCCTTGAGCAAAAGAAGCTCAGGGACAGAGTGCCAGGCCCGGAGTTCAAGCCCCAGGACAAGCAACAAACAACAACAACAACAAACCACCAACCAAGCAGGGTGGTGATGCAGGGTTACTAGAAGGGCCAAAACAAGGGGCTCAGCCAGCTTGGGTTACAAGAGCAACAATTCCAATCCCATGCAACTTTTCTTCCAAGTGAAACCAAACTTTCACAGGATCTGGAAAGCAAGCAAGCAAGCTGAATCCTTCCTTTGACCACATTGCAAACTCGTTTAAATGGGTGGCAAGCAAGATCTGAAGAAAAGGTTAAGTCGCACTCCTGTGTGACAGAGCCTGGCTGTTTCCCTACAAAGCAACTGGTACTCCAGGAGTCAAAGCGGGTCGCCTCTGGGCAACCTGCTCCTCTCTCCCGCGCAGTGAGCTACTCAAGTCCACAGTGGCACCCAAGGCACGCCGAAGTAAGGACAGGACCAAGCTCCAGGGTCTGGGAGCTCTGAGGGGCGGGGGAAAGGGAGGGGAGGGGAGGGACTAAAGGGGGCACGGGGTGGGGCCGGGAGGGCGGAAGGCGGGCCCGGGAGCGCAGAGGGCGGGGCCTGGAGCGCGGTGGGCGTGGCGGAGCAGCGCGTAGCCCTCCGGGAGCGGCGCGCGTTTCCGGCGTGCGCGGCGGAACGCGGGGGCGGGGGCACCGCGGGCTCCCAATCGCGCACAATGAGACAGCTCTGAGCGCCGGAAGTGGGGCCGAAGGAAAACACGGAGAGAGAGCCCAGCCGGGACAGGAAGAGGCGGGGGACCTCGGCGGAGGTGGTGTGAGCGCTTCGGAACGCCTTCTCCCTGCCTCCCTCACAGACGCGCCGCCGGGCTGGGGCTCCGGTGGGTTTCCTGGTCTCCGGAGTCAGAGATCGGGCCTGCCCTCGGAGGTACGTTGGCTCTCCATCCCCCACTGGCCTCCGCGTCCCAGAGTAGGTGACCCCGGAACCCCCAAGGCCGGCGGAGACTGACCTTCCGGGTTCGAGTCCGCGTCCTTACTTTATGTCAGGCTCTGCAGGGGCTGAAGAAGGGATTTGGGTAGAGGCACTAGCCTGGGCTCCTTCGCCTATTGGGGAACCCCGGAACCCCTTCGAGGTGGCAGGTCACTTCCTGCTTCCTGGTCCCTACTGTGGCAGCTTCGTGGCCAGGAGAGCCGGGGACACCTCATCTTCGCCTCGGATCGCCAAGGGTGGAAACTGAGGCCGGTCAGGGGTGGGGCAATCGAACGAGTCTCGAAAAGAAGTGTCGTTTTACTGTGAATTGCTGTTTGTGACCAAACTGAACGCGTTTGGGGCTGGAGAGTGAGAGATGGGATGGTTTAGCCGGAGCGGTTCCTTGGTTGGAAACCCAGCCCCTTTTGAATTGAGTGCTGTCTCTCCGGGTCGCGAGCCCAAGCGACTTGGAGCTGGTTGTTTGGAAAAGCGAAAGCGAACTGGAGTTGAGCGGAAATGTAGTCAGTTCACCTAAAAGTTTCGATTCCTTGTGTAGCACTCGAAAGTAATAGCCAGCTTCTTAAGGAAAACTGTTTTGCACGTTTTGTAACAATATCGGCTCAGAATGTTTACTTGGAAGGGAACGCTTTCGTTGCACTACACTGCATAGATTTAAAAGCTTGGTCTGAGTAAAATACTGCCCTACAGTTGTCCAGATTATAGAAGCTTCTCATTCACAGATTTAATCTTGATGCTAAATAGTAAGTACTAATTTTCATGTCATTACAGGAATAAGTTTCGTGACCTCTAGAGCCATATACTATTAGGGACATGATAGAAATTTTATTTAAAAAACAGGAAACTAGCTACTCAGGAAGGAGGAGGTTGAAAACTGAGGGTTTGGTTCAAAGCCAGCTTAGGCAGGAAAGTTTGAGACTATTTCCAATTAACCAGCAAAAAAGTGGAAGTAGATCTATGGCTCAAGTGGTAGAGTGCCAGCCTTGAGTGGAAAAAGCTCCCAGGACAGCTGCCAGACCCTTAATTGAAGCCCTCGTATCAGCCTGAAAAACAAAAACAGTTTCTTAAATCATGTTCTTTTTTAATTCATATGGTAAATGTACTATTTTGTGTATGTGTTCTGTGTTATACCTTGTTTCCTTAAATTATCTTCTTTCAGGTGCAAAGTAAGAAAATTGAAGTACAAGACCATGGGAGATGCAACAAAATCTTACTTTGTGAAACGCACTAAGGACCGAGGAACTATTGATGATGAAGATTTCAGAAGGGGTCATCCCCAACAAGATTATTTAATAATGGATGATTATGCTAAAGGCCATAGCAGTAAAATGGAAAAGAGCCTTCCAAAAAAAAAGATAACACCTGGGAACTATGGGAATACCCCTAGAAAAGGACCATATGCTGTTTCCAGCAATCCATATGCATTTAAAAACCCAATTTACAGTCAACCTGCTTGGATGAATGACAACCACAAAGACCAAAGTAAAAGGTGGCTGTCCGATGAACTTACTGGTAGTTCAGACAGTTGGAGGGAATTCAAAATTGCACCCAGAATTCCTATCATGAGCCGACCAAGAAAAGACTCCTTTCAAGAAAGTGATGAACGTTACAGGTGGCAAGAAGGAAGAGGCTGCAGAACTGTAAGACCACTGTTTCATAAAGACTTAACAAGCCTAGACACCATGTCAGAATTGGAAGCAGGAAGTCCTGGTAATGTGTTCCAATTCATCAGGTTACCCCTAAGCCAGAGATAACAAAATCTTTTTTTTTTTTAATCCAAACAGGTTTTATTATTTTCAGCAATGAACCTTGTATTTAAAGTAATTATCCAGGCACTGGTGGCTCATGCCTGTAACCCTAACTACTCAGGAGACTGAGATCTGTGGTTCAAAGCCAGCCAGAGCAGGAAAGTCCATGAGACCCTTATCTTCAATTAATCAACAGAAAACAGGAAGTGGCACTGTGGCTCAAGTGGTAGAGTGCTAGCCTTGAGCTGAAGAGCTCAGGGACAGCACCCAGGCCCAGGGTTTAAGCCCCACAACCTCCCTTACCCCCTGAAAAAAATATAGATATTTTTCGGGCTGGGAAGGTGGCTCAGTGGTAGAGCGCTTGCCTTGCATGCATGAGGCCCTGGGTTCGATTCCTCAGCACCACATAAGCAAAAAGCCAGAAGTGGCACTGTGGCTCAAGTGGTAGAGCGCTAGCCTTGAGCTAAAGAGCTGAGGGACAGCACCCAGGCCCAGAGTTCAGGTCCCAGGACTGGACCCAAAAAAAATGAAACAACAAAAAAATATATATATTTTTTAAGATTACCCTTTGGGCAAACTTCAACACATTTTATCTACTTGTTACTTCTAATATTTATTTTAACAACCCTGCATGGTAGTTCATGTTTTTAATTCCAGCTAAGAGGGAGATGTAGGTAGGAATTGAGGTCTAAGACTCATCTTCAGCAAAAAAAAATAAAATAAAATTCCTGGAGATTCCATCTGAAGAATTCTAGCTCAAACAAGGGTGAGACCATTCCTCAAAGGATAGAGTCCTGAGTACTAAAAAAAAAAAGAACCAAAAAAAAAAAAATTCAATTTAGGCATGATGACACATGCCTCTTTAACCCTTAGGAGACTGAGATGGGTTGTAGGCCAGCTTGATCTATATACTGAAACTTGAAGCCTTTTCTCAAAAAAATTTGTACTTTGGTATGGTGAGTCTCATTATACTTTAGTGAACATACTTTTGTGGAAGAGGGTTGTCATATAACCCCTAGAGGCTGTACAGTAATTTATAAGTACTGTGTGTGTTATTTCCTAAATTTTGTATTTAAATAATGTTTCCATAATGTAAGTGATAGAATATAAAACTTAAAAACTTATTTGATGCAAAACCACAATGTAGATGCGTATATTTTTCATACCTGGATATGTTTTGGATGATGTATCTTCTCTAGAGCAGAATAATTTAAGTTTTTGTTTTTTCAAGAGATGAGTAAAGTATGTGCCTATATATTCCCAGGATTAGTCCCTGAGGCAGGGAGGGTCACTTGAGTCCAGTATTTCCAGTCCAGTCTAAGCTAGACCATTCTAGACCTATCTAGACCCTTTCTCAAAACTAAACAGAACAAAACGAAGCTGAAGTTATGTAGTTCAGTTGTAGAGTGCTTACCAAACTTGTACAGACCTGGACATGGAGGGAAGCTTAGCATAACAAGAAGTTGCGAAACATGAATTTGGAAAGTTAGAATACAGAGAGAAGCTTTGCTATTTACTTTCAGTAAAATGAAAGTCCATTTCTAAGTGACTTCACATGCTTTTTAATAACTGACTTAAAGTGATTTATATATTTTGCTAAAAGGTGCAAAGTAGACATTTTCAATATAGCAATGATTTCTTAAGACGAAGGTTATTTTTTAATGGTATATTTTCTGAGATGTAATAAACACAAGTTGGATAGGAAAAGGGAAATCAGAGTATGAAAATTAGAAAACAGTTTTGTTGGCTAAAAACTTCTTTATATAGAATAGATTGCAAATGTTTACATTTAAATACATTCAGACGGGCTGGGAAGATGGCTCAGTGGTAGAGTGCTTGCCTTGCATGCATGAGGCCCTGGGTTTAAATCCTCAGCACCAAATAAACAGAAAAAGGTGGTGCTGTGGCTCAAGTGGTACAGCACTAGCCTTGCGCTGAAGAGCTGAAGGACAGTGCCTATGCCCAGAGTTCAGGCCCCACAACCAACCAAAAAAAAAAACATTCAGGCAATATAGATACTTTCTAGGTTTACAGAGACTTTTTTTCTGGCATACTATCTCAGTGGCCAGTTTATATTTGTGTCTTGTGTATGAATTTGTGATCCATGGATATAGAATGCTTTAAGGGAGTTGATCCTTTTTGTCAAAAAACATCTCAAAAGCCAGGTGCTGGTGGCTCACTCCTTTAATCCTAGCTACTCAGGAGGCTGAGATCTGAGGATCGAGGTTCAAAGCCAGCCAGGGCAGGAAACTCTGTGAGACTCTAATCTCCAATAAACCACTAGAAAACTGGAAGTGGCACTGTGGCTCAAGCGGTAGAGTGCCCACCTTGAGCTCAAGAGCGCCCAAGCCCAGAGTTCAAGCCCCAAAACAGACCCCCCCCCCAAAAAAAAAAATCTCAAAGCTGAATCTCTGCTGCTTGTAAATCCAACATTATGGAGAGGGATAGTATTGAGGAGGAGGCAGGAAGATCCAAAGTAAGACCATTCTGAGTTATATAGTAAGATTCTGGCTGGATATAAAACAAAAACAGAAACGAAAAACAAAATCTCCAGAACTTATTGACATGAAATGGAGGGAAGGGAGTTAATTGATAAGTTATTGTTGTTTGGTTTGGTTTTGTCAGTTGTGGGGCTTGAACTGAGGGCCTGGGCACTGTCCCTGCGCCTCTTTGTGCTCAAAGCTAGTGCTCTACCACTTGAACCACAGCGCCACTTCTGGTTTTTGAGTGGTTTATTGGAGATAAGAGTCTCACAGGGACTTCTCTGCCTCTGCTGGCATTGGACTTCAATATTCAGATCTCAGCCTACTGGGTAGCTAGGATTATAGCTGTGAGCCACTGGTATCCAGCTCACAATTTTTTCTTGAGGAGAATTAAGAGTTACTGCTTCTATCAAGTAGTAGGAACATAATAAAATGTTATAAAGGAATTAATAGGGAAGGATTGGATCTTAGCCTTATAAATCTTTACTCTGGGAAGAACTTGAAGGAATTTTCTGATGGAGCACTGTGGTGTTCTATCAAAGGTAGAATAATAATTCTACAAATTAGGCACACAATCTGGAGAGGTTGAATTTATTGAAATTTGTTTGTATAGTAAAAGGGGAAGTAGAAGTGAAATCAGAAATGAAATCAGCGGGCTGGGGAGGCTTAGTGGTCGAGTGCTTGCCTTGCATGCATGAGGCCTTGGGTTCAGTTCCTCAACACCACATAAGCAGAAAAGGCTGGAAGTGGTGCTGTGGCTCCAGTGGTAGAGTGCTAGCCTTGAGCTGAAGAACTGAGGGACAGTGCCCAGGCCCAGAGTTCAGACCCCACAACTGATAAAAAAAAAAAAAAAAGAAAGAAATGAAATCATGGAGTCTGTCCCCCTGATCATTAACTCAGCCTCCCTGGGCCTGGAATCATGAAAGGGAAACTAAGTATTTGTTGGTAATTTCTGGGCTTATGATTTGTGTTTTTGTTTTTAAAAGTTTCTTGTGTATCTTTGTATTCGTGTTCATAAGTATATTAATTATCATTAATTTAATTACCCATAGTTGAATTTTTTAGGAAAAAAGCATGAAAAGCATTTTAAAATAGAGATTTGTAGAGTACATATGTTTGTAGAGACAGATTATATATATATATATATATATATATATATATATATATAAAACATATTGGTATAGTAACTGTACAAAAGAAGTTTCATTGCAATATTTCCATAGTTGCATATAGTGTACTTTGATCAACTGTATCCTCTCAATTACTCTTTATCCCTTTCTCACTTTTTAAACAGCATTTTCATACACGTATGTATATAAATTACTATTACCTCTTATGTATTCTTGTTTGGTTTTAGGAATAACAAGGGAGTTGCTTAAGTATGTTTGAAAAGGACACACTTTCCTTGTCTTATCAAAGGCACTCATGTTTTCTTTATATGAAATCCAGGCGTGTGCCTTCATAGTTAACTAAAGGAAGGTCTCTTCAGCTTCTATCCCTTGAAAATCTGTATTAAAAAATAAAACTGTTACACAATGTTACTGTAGAGAGAAATTTACTTCAATTTGTAAACATTGTACTGCATTTAGAAATCCTAAAAAGTATCCTTTTAAAGGAACTGAAATGCCCTTAAATCAAAATTGTGGCTTTGTAAGTAAGTTTTATGACAGTGTGGGAAGATGCAATGAAAACCATGTTTGAGATGCTTTTTTCACCTTACACACTGCCTGTTTTTCTGTTTTGCAGTACACGCCCCTACCTCACCCTCAATTGCCAATTTAACATATTTGGGGTAATGCCATTAATGACTTAGCTGGAAAATATCCACTCAAATACACATGTCCTTTGTGAGGGGATACTAGACCATATGCAAATAAAAATGGGAAACTTTAGAAAACTGAATATAGAAAAAATGTATATTGAAATAAATTTGGCAGGTGCCAGATAGTTTTCCTCTAAGTGATTATGGAAATTTTTCAGCAATACACGGTTTGGCCTTCTAAGAGTCCTTTCAATGTGATTTCTTTTTGACAGTTTATGGCTGTAGGGCCTGTGCAACCAGTTTAGGATGTTATATTGCCAGTTCTGGTCTATCCTAGGTGTACATGGGTGTGCCTCTGGAAGGGATGTAGTAATTTCTTTTCAGTTTCCATATTGTGAGACAGAAGATGAGTTTGAGAATAAGCCCATATTTTAAGTCCATATTTTAAATCTTTATTTTGACTTGGCCCCTACCTTTGATAAGTTTGCTAATTTTTGTCCCATCTGGACAGTGGGGTTATTAGCATCCATGTCAGGATTACTGTAGGGATTAAATGAGGCTGAATACATAAAGTGTTCACTATATATCTGTCAAATCATAGATTAGTAATAACTGCTGCTATCATTTAACATCATTCCTGTCTCTGTATAAACAGATTCACAGAAGTCAATCATTGTCCTTTTGCTTTATTTCACATATTTTTATTAGTGTCAAATAATTGTACAAAGGGGTGACATTTTGACACGTTCTGTACATTATTGAGTTTTGCTTCTTTTCCTTTCCCCTTCTCCTACCCTCCCCCCCAAAAAAGTGTTTCAACCATGTTGGCCAGACTGGCATGAATTCAGAGATTCTCCTGCCTTTGCCTCTGCAATATTAGGATTATAGCCATGGCTACCACAGCCAGCCAATTCTGGGGTTCATAGGGAGAGAACAGTTACTCTAGAAAATGACAACGAATACATTTACATTGTAAAGCCTTATAACCAAGAGTGAAGAGAGACTGGAGAAGAAACTTGGTTATTTAACAGTTCGTTGGCAAAACGACAGACTTTTCCAAAGGATATTGTACATTTTTTTTTGGATATTGTACATTTTGGTATGCATCTCTAATTTGTGGTGGTATAAGAAACTTCTGTTAGCCAGGTGCTGGTGGCTCATGCCTGTAATCCTAGCTACTCAGGAGGCTGAGATCTGAGAATCTCAGTTCAAAGCCAGCCCAGGCAAGAAAGTCCAATAAACCACCAGAAAAAATGGAAGTGGCGCTGTGGCTCAAGTGGTAGAGTGCTAGCCTTGAGCTGAAGAGCTGAGGGACAGCCCTCAGGCCCAGCGTTCAAACCCCACGACCAACAAAAAAAAGACAGAAACTTCTGTTATGCACACTGAAGTCAATGTTTATTTTGAGAAAGATAAGCAAATTACATGAGAATAGTAGCACCTAAAAGTAATGTTCACTCAAAATTTAGTTCAGACCAAGATAGATTAGGCTGGGACTAATTAGGAAGCAAACTACAACAGGCAGCATGGTGGTGCACACCTCTAATCTCAGCACTTGGGAGGTTGAGGCATTTCCCAAGTTAAAAAATTTCATGATTAGTTTTCAAAGGTTTGCTAAAAATTGTATTTACTTAAAAATAAAAGCCTGCTAAAATGCCCTACATTAGGCATTTCCTCTGTCAGCTTTTCAGGGAGTGTCATGACTAGTACACCAATTAGCAAACCTTGGAAAACTAATCATTAAAATGTTTAATTTGGGAAATGAATCTTTTAGTGATGTGTATAACTAATAGCTTCATTTTCCATAACTTCATAGAAGACAGAAGTCATCAAAGCTATTTAAAACATTTTTTATAGTTGAATTTTATAGTCATCTGTTTCAGAGGATAAAAATTTGGACGTGTAAAAGAAAAGATTCATTTAGTCATCTAAAGACTACTTAAGAGTTTATAAACAACTGAACTCACACTTAGACAAGTGTTTATTTCAATGACCAGTTGCTTTTTTTTCCCCATCTATTTTTTTTTACACCCATTATGCTGGTTAGTCTAAAACATTAAAAAAGCTAAAATGAAAGTAAAAATAATGGGAAATAGTTGTCCTCAGTAAATAAAATGTTGCCGTGGGTTTTTGCTGTTAATAAGAGAAACTCAATTATGTGTTATTGAAGGCTTCATTTGTAACTTAAATGTATTCTTACCATGCCATGTTGGGATGTGGCTGATTGCTAAATTTTCCAAAGATGTATGGTATTGTCCATTTTACTCTATTTAGATCCTTCAGTTAAAAATAAAAAATGAGGAGCCGGGCGCTGGTTGCTCACGCCTGTAATCCTAGCTACTCAGGAGGCTGAGATCTGAGTATCACGGTTCAAAACCAGCCCGGGCAGGAGAGACCTTGAGACTC